ACAAACTGTGCAAGTCCTAYTTTGCATCCTCAGAGAGAACGAGGGAGTTGTAACTTTGACTCGCGTGCTGCGGACGTATCGGATCGTGAATCAGTCCTCATTCATCTGACAAACTGTGCAAGTCCTATCTTGCATCCTTCAGAGAGAACGAGGGAGTGGTATGTAGCCAGGGTGATGGAGAGAATAGGTTCAACGAATCCAGCTCAGAGAGCTGATCTGTTAAGGCCTGCCGGAAAGCCAGGTCAGACTCTGTCAGACTTAGTGGGCATCGTTTTTGGTTCTGGAAGTACCTTGCCAGGAATAGCATAGGTCCTCTTTTTTTCTTACTTCTTTTTGTTTAAGAAATAAACATACTTCATTTTTTGAATTTTTCTACTTTTTTTGGTAAAGACAATGCTTCTTATTAAGAATAGGTCAGTTTTTTTCACCCCTGACAAAGGTATCAATATTGTTAAAAAAAGGAAAAAGGAGCGAAACATGCACAGCCGCATAGCTGCTCGGGTCTATGAGAAAGGCGTGCAGGCCTTGAGCCTGTGAGGTATAAGCTGGAAGATGCCTCCAGTACTTGCAGTCCGGGGGCCAAGTCCCACTAGCAGCGTTAAGCTACCTCAACGCGTGTATGTGGACGCCTTTGCGGAGATGTGCAGAAATGCTGTTGAGTTTCCTGAACTGCACCTCTCCACAAACGCGTCCAGATTCAGGCATTGTGGTAGCTCAACGCTGCTAGTGGGACTTGGCCCCGGGAAGTATTGTTGAGGTCCCCTGAGTCTATCTATTGCTGAGTAATGAAATTTGAATTTTGAAAAGGGCGGGGTGGGGGGGAGGGGTGGAGGGCAAGAGTAATACATAAAAAAAGGAAAAAAAACAGAAAAGAAAAGAGATTTTAAAAAGTAAAATGAGGAGAGTATAGGTTCGATCGGTAGATCAGAGGGGTGGGGCTCATTTCAATTGATCTGGGAAAATTGGCCCCATATGTACAGCTCATGCACCTGGCTGTCTGTACGACTTGGTTCGTCTGATCTGCAAAGTGTTTATCCCATTGGTAACACCTCATGCACCTGGCCCTCTGCACGGCCACGTACGGTTGCCTGCAGGACTCGTTTCAACAGATCTGCAAGTAGTTTGGCCCCATCATTACAGGTCATGCACCTGGCCTTCTGCATGCCCAGGTACAGCCTGATGGAAACATTTTAGTTAGTTGGAAGTATTTAAAGACTTGTCAAGAGCTGATGTTCTTCAAGATTGCCATCTTCCGTCTTCCCGATTATGAATGTATACACGCTATTTTTATGGCCCAATACATTCGGGATGAGGATGCAGATGTTCTTCAAGATTGCCATCTTCCGTCTTCCGATTATGAATGTATACAAGCTATTCTTATGGCCCAATACATTCAGGATGAGGATGCGTTTTGGGGAAAGATGGCAGCCCCGGGTAATGATAGCGATGCTCTAGCCAATAGGCTGGAGCGAAAGAGGGTATGAAGTTGCGGTCTTCCACCGAGCAAATCTCGCTGATTATGAATGTATACAAGCTATGTTTCTACCCCAATACATTCAGGATGAGGGTGTGTTGTATTTGTGGGAAGATGGCAGCCCCTTGCAATGATAGCAATACTGCTGCAGCCAATAGGCTGGAGCCAGAGAGCGTATCGTACAGATGCGATGTCAGGCTGGCCAGTTTGTGTAGGTGGTATGCGTTCGAAATGATGCCAGCTGATCCTGCGGGACATCCGTTAAAGTTGGAG